GTCTAGCGGTAAGTCTGTCCTAATAGTCGTCTAGGCCCCAATTTTTTTCGGAGATCTTCATTCGCCATAGCTATGGTGTTTTTGTGGATTTTTTTAACAGAAGTCCACAGACACCGCCAAATGGTAATGCAAATAACCTCAATCTTCTTGAACGACCTTGGATCCAATCTCAACCGGTTCAAAGATCTACAAAACAGCACGATAGGTTGTTCTGGCGTAGAGACTGCGACCCTCAAGTTTTATGTGAAGAAGATGATGAATAGTAAGAACTCCATAAATATATTTTAAGTATATTAGAGTGTGTAGAATGTGAGTGATCATACCTCACCCCTTTATGTAGAAGTGTTACCCTATTGCCCAAGACTGCCCAGGTACCCGAACTGCCCAATTCTATTTGGTCACGTGGTCTTAACCATGTGTTCTTCTTATCCTAAAAATATTTCTTCTTATATATTATGTAGTGTGTTCACATTCGGTCATTTCATTAGGTGGTCTAATTGTGCGACCAACTCGACTTCCCTTGAACCAGGCTACTCCGACCTTCAACGTATAAGCTTTATCTCTTAGGTTGCACCATCGGACTGCATGCCTTCATGTCGAGTTTCTATCAGGCTAGCCGAGAGGCCTAACTTGACATGTTGATGACCTCCTTTACCTGTGAGGTCGCAATTGACCTAGTGAATAGACCACCGGTGTCCTTGATGTCTAGTCAAACTACCGGTTCACCTAGTCTAGTAGGACCGCAACGACCTGGTCTGATATCTCATATCATAGTGGTTATGGAAATTTATTAACTAATAACAAAATTAACATTAACTTTTTTCGAATATTATATATCAAGACTTTTAAAAATCACAAAAAAATCAAATTAAATATGACAAAATTTATATATACCAAAATTTCTAAAATTTTGAAAATTGTTAAATTCTAAATGAGTACACAAGGTATGTTCCACAGTGTTTTTTTCTATACCCGAGAACTATTATTTATCATCTTCTTGAATGTTGATGTTTTCCAGGATATTTGGCTCCCTTCTTGGCACAATATCTTTTCATTTGTTCAACCAATTTTCCCACAGTTAGCAGGGTTGATGACCTCATCCTCGATGGTAAATGGAATGACAACCTCATTGTTAATATGTTTCCTCCTTTTTCTTGCTAATGAAATTCTCCAAATTCTAATCTCATGGCCTGATAAAGAAGATGAACGGTACTGATGCTTTGATGAAAAATGAAAATACTGAGTTCGAGAGGGATATAGGGTTGAAATGGGTTTCCATGACCCTCCCGTCAATCAATATGAGGTAATCATTCGAAAATGGTGGAAGTTTCTATGGGCTTTAAACATCCCTTTTAAAAATCAGATCATTTTGATGGCATTTGGCGAACGATTTTATCCTAATAGTTATAAACTTACCTAACCACCGTGTCCCATTTATGCACAAATGTAATATTTATAATTGTTTTTTTGATTCATCCACGCATTCGATATTTTCTGCCCCCGATTGTTGCCACTCAAGAAAATAGCGTCTTCTACCCGACCCTCAAGTCGGCAAAATTTGGATCTACTTTGGATCTGTGCACTTGGATACACAATAGTCTGACTAGGAGGGAATTTATAATATTCTTGGTTAATTTAGAAAAAAAGGCAAAGATTTATACATCACCTTAATCCAAAAGAATGCCTTAATTTAGTGGAAAATGCTGAGAGCTTAATTCTAAATTTCTAACTAACTTGCAGGGACTCTCTGTAGATCAAGTGGTCCCTAGATCATAAGCTAACTACAATTGGAAGCTTCCACTCGCAAACTCAGTTCGCCTCGACGTGGATGCTAGTGCTAACATGAGAGCAGGTAGATTTGGTATTGGTGGAATCATCAGGGATGATCAAGGAAGAGCTTTTTACGCCTTTGGAAGGCCACTCAGTAATTCGGGCTCAATCATCAATTGTGAGCTTCAAGCTATTAAGGTCAGATCGGAGAATTGCTGTGAGTTGAATCAAGTTCCCTTACTGATTTATACAGACTCATTGTTGGCGGTACAAAAAATAGCCGACTTCAACGAGACTCTAGGCTACACTCTTTCTTGGGCTAATGATATTCGTGCTAACCAACAACAAGACAACTTCTTCATATGCGTTGCTTGGTCAATAATGTTGCTCATGCTCTTGCATCTTTTGCTTCTTTTTTCAAGTTTCCTTTTTCAGTGGAAGGTGTATGATTTTTTCTTCTTGGCTTAAAGATCTCATATGTACT